CAGTGTCTTGGGCATGACTCCTGCGTTAACGTTTACACACAGGGAAGAGTTATAATGTACTGCAGAGCCCGGTTACTACAAAGGGTACCATTATATAAATCTTTATTAAATCATTATAAAGACTTTAATAGCAAATACAGTATATTAATCTCATATCAAAATGCACAATTCTGTGTAAATTTCCATTGAGTATATTCTGCTGTGTGGTGTTTTTTAGAATGCCTCATCCATTTTACAGTATGTGCTCCAGTCATTGTCTTTTTAGCTTGTCAACAGCTACATTAACCAAATTGTGTGGCTTTTCTTAAGTAGATGTGTTTTGTTTTATGAACTGTGTTTTAACAGTTACCATTCACCTGCAAAAAAGGAACAAAATTGCTACAAAAGGCACAGTGCTCACATCTGCGCATCCTTTTCTTCTACTCTGCATGGCTTCCCTTGTTTATCCTGTTCTAAACAAGATGCACTCTATACTCCTCAAACACCCAAAAAAGTCTTTGATGCCTCTACAGAGATTGTTGTTGAGATGTGCCTTATTCCTTTAAAAAAGATGTTTGGAAAATAATCTACTCTGCTTACCTTCCCGGAAACTCTTTTTTTTTCTTTTTATTTGCTGTAGAATGTTCTTTGTCAGCAGTTTTACCGATTACTATTTATATAAATCCAAGCAGCTACCACTCCTATTGTGACACAACATGATTTATCTATCTCTTTTCACTCACTGCCAGGAAGTTTACTTTTGGAATTTAAAATGTTGCTACTCAGATCTACGTGTGTAGCAGATCCCAGGCTCTTTGCCCTGCTAGTGGTCAAGGTTCCTCTCTCAGAATCTGTTCTTTCAGTGAGCTTGATTTATTGGAGACTTTTTACATTAAAAAATGTTTTTCTTAATTGTTTTTTATCTCAGCACTGTCTCTGGTTTTCTTTTTACGGATGGTTATGATTAGGTGTTGAAAAAACTGTTAAGTTACATAGCTATGTTGAACAACACATTGCTGTTCAGTACAAGCGCAGTATTATACAGTACTCCTCCGGTGCTCATCCAATCAATGTGTTATTCAGCCTATAATTATGAACCCAAAACACAGATACAGTGAGCAAAGTATTTAATCTAATAGTAATTTTAATAAAAAATATAAATTGAAAAGGCTATAAATTTAGCGCATTGAATGGAATGGAGAACCTTTCAATCTTGAGCTCTATATGCACAGATTTACAGTATGTAGAGTATAAAAATCTGGATTTAAAGCCAGTTGAACTTCATAAAATAATGATTAGTAAAATAATTATTTAGCACAAGAGCAAAGTGTATAAGTGTTTAAAGGGTTAGGACTTCCACCAAAGATGGAACATCTGACCTCCCACGTATCTATAAAGGGCAGGACCTTTCAGGTGTTACAGTGATTTGTGTAGGACAACCAGCAGAAGGATTTTGAGTAAATAAGATACCAGCTGAAACTCTTGCCACCGATTGAGAAAAGACATCTGCCCAGCCAGCTGGCTGGAGTGACCGCCACAAAGGCCTAGGGCGGCTGCAGGTTCATCTGCACGGTGCAGAGGAGAAGCAACAGCCTGCCCCAGCCTTGTTCTCCAGCTCGTTTGTTGCCATAATCTTTCATCTTCAGCCCTCTGCACCCATCCTGATCCTGGTGCAGCCTTCTTGCACCCTATTCCCTCCTTACATTGGGAGAAATCGGCACACAACTCGGGCAAGGCTCAGCCAGAACTCTCTTTTCCATCCGTTGTTACGCGTTTATCTGCCTGGTGCTTGTGTGTAGAGAAACTCACATCTGTATCCGCAGTTGGGCTCAAGCACTCTGAGTGAATTACCTTGCTCAAGGGTGACACAGCAGCAACCCCAAATCCACAGCCCTCCATTTCAGAGCCCAGAGCCCTGAGCAGAGCTCCTCTTGGTTGGCTTAGTGAGTGAGCAATCTCCTACGATATGCTGTATACAGTAACTTAGCCATCAGCTTGTTTCTCTCTATTCAGAATGTCTTATTGAGAAAAGCAGAGCCTTTCCATCCCATTTCAGATTCCCCTGCTATTGTTTTTGCCTCGTGCAGGTGAAATCCAGAGCCTTGCAAATTGAATTTTTTCAGCTAGTACAAATGCTAGAGCGCAAGCAAGCCTCAAATTATGACTGCAGCAGCTGTTGATTACGATCATAAAGAAGCACAGGAAATTGGTCGAGTAACACCTAAGTGCACATTGATTGTGCATGGCAAAGAAATGCAATCTACTGAGTGATTCAATAAAAATGATTTTAACTTGCAGAAATGAGACACTACATTACTAAAAACTAAAATCAGAAAATAAACTGCTTAAGCCTCAACAAAGTAAATGGTGTGACTGCCTTGGAGTATTAGTTAATATGGTCTTTTAAAGTGACACCCTTTCTTGACATCACAAAATATACAGTAAAAGGAAATGTGAACAGTAGTGTATTTTCAGGATGAAAAGAATGCAGACATTACAAAAGCATTATTTATTACTCCAGCAGGGAATAGTCAAATCTTCATCAACATTTTTTCTTTCATTTTAACTGAACTCAAATGCAACAATGAGCATCTGTCATGTGTCATTTTTTTAACTAGATGACCTGTGTATATTGTAAATGCAAGCGAACAATACTCTCCATTCTGTGGAAAAAAAACACTACAAAAACAAACAACAATCCTGTATGCTCACTAATTCAGTTGTAAATGACATTTTAGTGTGAGATTCTTGAAACGTCCCCAGAAATTACACTATTGTGATGAAGATGATGTTGATGTTGTTTTTCCCCAATGAGATATTGATGTGAAACACAGACCGTTCCCTTTTTCTTGTGCATCAGCGTGTAACTGTAGTTAATCACAGCACACAGCAATCGATGACAGACGTGTATACTGCACGGGGTGTTTTTTCTGCTTGGCAGTGAGATGTACCAAGGTGAAAATGAGTTTCCTATCTGAATGGTCTGATAAATATGTTAGAGAGCCTAAAATCCAACATTTATGGCAAACTAGTTGACCACTAACGGGTGGTACATACTGTACAGGAGATGCTTTCCTCTGACAACATCTTCATTGCAGTTATATCTGCAATTGGCTGCCTTAGAGTCCAGGAATTATCACCTTTAGTGCGGGCAGGGTGGGGCATCTCTCCGGACCGGACCAGACTTTGCAGAGTTCTCTGTAGGCCGGTCGGGCCCAGGCTGGGCTATGCCCCGCGCGGACTGAGACTAGGATCCCCCCCCGGGGCTGGTGGGGCCGAGCCCCCTCAGCTGACTAGAGCGCTTGCGTGCCGGGGTGAGGCAGCGAGTGCCTGCGGGACCACAGTGGTGTCGGGGAGAGCTGCACCTCTCCTCCAGCAGGTACGCAGCGCTGCGGGACTCGAGCTGAGAAAGTGACATCGGGACAAGAGCCCACACTTCATGAAGATCTGAGCAAATGATGATTCTAGTCTGGCAGGTATGATACGGACAGTTGCATTACAAAATAAGCAGACAAGTGGGTTTATGTAGTATATTTGATATAGTGATCTGTTTTTGTTTCTACCTATGACTGATTAATTGCAAAGAAGTGTATCTATAGCTGTTAATCATGGCTTTAATGAAATCTGTATTATCTGGTAAAACCAATTTTGGAGGGAGATTCCTGGATGTCTAGAAAATTCTGTGCCAGCTGTTGTTGTTAAACTTGAAAATATCACCTACAGTTTACATACCGCATGTGATCCCCTTCTCTCCCTCACACACCTTCCTTCTCATAATAAACATCTTTATTTGCTTTTAATTTGAAGGTGTGAGACTGCTCTTAAAATACATCTTTTAGGATTTCTTGACTTAGATAACATTTTTCTATCTCCCATTAAGCAACCCATCTTGATTCAAACTTTCCATTGGATAGACTAAATATTTATTTACATAAAGATGGGTAATAATGAATGAAGTATACCAAGCACAGTTAAGTTTCAAGTATGCATATGACCCCAAGATCTTGTCCAGCTGTTTCTTGAAAGAAGCAAGGGTATCAGCTTCAACATACTCCTGAGTCTCAAAACCCTCTGTGTAAAGTGTCTCCTCTTTCACTGACCTGAAGCAGTCAGCTGGTATTACTAAAACATTTACGATAAAGCTATTACTTTTCTCCCAAAATAGTTTGCTCCAGACTTCCATAGCACTTTCTATAAAGTAGTGCCTCCTGTGCTCAATTTCCACGTCTGTCCCCTGATTTATGTTTCACTATCGATCCTGAAGAAGTCCGACGGGCTGTCTTTATTAATAGAGTACCCTTGAGGATTTTTAATGCTTGAATTAGATCCCCTTAGCAGTCTTGTCTAAGATTTAGATTAGATCTGTTAGCCTGTCAGTGTAGGACAGACCTTTAAGTCTGGGAATGTATCAGATTGCTTTTCTCTGGATTGAATCCAGAACAGCCATATTTTTTTAAGCTGGTGACCTTAAAAAAACTGTACACAATATTCTAATTCAGTCCTTTCTAGTGCATTGTGTAATTTTAAGATATCACCACATGATTTAAATTCTACAATTTTAACTACAGCATACAGTATATCCTAACATTCTGGAGATATTCCTTCACAACATACTAATAAGGAATTTTTAACTTATTAAGTCGGTACCTGCATACAATTATTAAGATGTTCAGGTAGAAAATAATATTGTAAAGCACATATCACAGGTGCAGGTGTGCTGTGGAACCTGTCCTCATGGGCTCAGTGCTCTGTGCTCTGTCTGTGTGCTCTTGCAGGTGTGCTGTGGAACCTGTCCTCATGAGCTCTGTCTGTGT